TTGGTGTTGCTCCATTTCCACCATTTGATGTTCCACCATTTGATGTTCCGCCATTTGGTGTTGCTCCATTTCCACCACTTGTTCCTGTTCCACTACCATTTCCGCTACCATTTCCGCTACCATTTCCGCTACCATTTCCGCTACCATTACCATTACCATTACCATTTCCATTTCCACCACTTGACGTTCCTCCGCAAGACTTTTTGCAATTATCCACAGATGTTTGACAATTATTTTTGCAATCTTCATATGATTTACAAAGATTTTTACAATTCTCATCTGAATCTTGACAACCATTTGCACAATCCTCCCCGGGTTGTTTACAAGAATTTTCACAATCATTTTCACAATTTTTTTCACAATCTTCACAATCTTTGTTTCCTGGAAGCTCCGTTGGCTTACTATCATAATTAGTAGTTGTACAATCTTCGGATTTATCTGGTTGCTCTGGATGGTTCGTTGGTATACTTTCGTAATAACCAGTCGTCGTACAATCTTCGGATTTATCAATTGGTTGTTCTACTGGTTTACTTTCATTTTCGTCACAATCTTCATTCTCTTGGTAATTTCTTTTTTGTATATTACTACTAGCCGGAAAACAAAAATTATTTTGAGGTATAGAACTATTGTAATAATCACATGGGGTTTCAGTACCATCTTTAGAAATTATACGAAAATGTAATGTATTGTCTGAACATGATCCTGTACTAGATTTAAGTAATATAATAATTGTATCGTCGGAGTAAGTATCAACTTGAGATACTGTTAGTTGACCATTTTCACTATACGACTTTGTAGTAGTTCCAGCATCAGATATTATTATTAAAGAACACAAAACAATTAATAATGATAGAGCCACGCGTTTAAGATGAACTCGTTCTTTCCAACTATTTCGTAGCATGTTGGCAAGAATCCGAACTCCCCGGGAACTTTTTAGAAAAAAAAAGGTTATACCCACAATCCGAGAGGATAGGGAGGGGTTTTCAAATTTGATGAGAACTCAATTAAATAGAATTTTTGAATGGCGCCAAACGTGTACAACGGTGCGGGTAACCTACAACAACATATGTATATACTAAACTCTATTCGATTCCATTGTGAAAAATTCGTACGTATGTAAATAAGTACAATCTTTTTTTAGGCCATGTTTATGAGAGAGATAAAAATTGACCGTGTAACCTAACTAACTACGACATATCTGCATTTATAAACAAATTAAATCTGTAATGACTTATTTAAATTTTCTAAAATAATAAATCATTGTTGATTGTTTAGTAACACAAAGAATAACCGGGGAAAAAATTCCAACTTTGTCAATATCCTTCTTGTTAACGCCATTAATATTTCTTTAACCGGAAGTCGCCGCGCGCCGTGCATAGTAACCCAATAATATCTGATATGAAAATTTTACAGTTTTATCGTTATGGGAGATTTATCATCATGCAGTTTATCCGGACAATATTTATCATTATTCAAATAAAGAATTTCAATGTTTCACAGATTCCATATTGATTTATTGTCCTTGACGGCCGATCCAAGGAATTGATTTGAAATTGACACTTAAGTACATAGTTACAATCACATATTAGTAAATTTCAACTAAATATATGCTATACTAAATTATGTCTATGATGATACCTGACTATCAAAAACCATCAAAGGTTAATACAAACTTCGGGGGAATGTTCAACATTGCATCTCCAAATCATATATGTGATGAATAAAAATCATCCCTGCATTTCTTTCCCTTATTCTTTTAATTAACAATGCTATACGAAGTTAGAATTATTCTTCCATACACATTTTACACATTAATAAAAATGAAAGAATAAGAAAATTAAATTTTTATTGATTACCGTTACATTGTTTAAAATATCGGCCGTTAATTTTTCCTTAGTCATATGAGAAATCTTCATATTATTCTAAATAGAGAATAACTCTTTATTACGTCATTTGCAATAATTAATGTTCAGATGTTTTTATCGGTTGTTTGAAATTTAATTCATTAAATTTAGATGTGCATCAATTGTACTACTACATTGCATTTTTTTTAAAATGAACGATATTCTTATATATTTATTACTTTATTACTGTATTAGAATTTAGTCTATAATTAGATAATTAGATTTAAACTATAAATTTAAAAAAAGTGGCTGGAAAAATTAATCGAGTAGTAAGATGGTTCGATCACACGTTTGATCGTACGTATAAGCCATACGTTTATATAGTAAAAATTTTAACTTTGAATTTATTATTCAGCCAATTAAACTAAAATATTGTTTGTAACACGATCTCAAAAATCAAAAATATATTTTTTTGTGATAAATATTTAGAAATAATCAAAAAATAGTAATAATGATTAATAAAGATAAATTCTAAGATATACTGTAGATTTAAAGGTATGTAGCAAATCTTTTTCTGAGAATCCTTTTTAAGCAATATATGCAAATTGATGTAAATATGCATTTATAGTGGGAAATTTATAAATACTCTCAATGCTTGGAATTTAGAAATTTTCTATTTTCTATATACCAAAAATCAGAATTTATATTCGAGTTTATCGCCATAAATTGAAAAATAGTTTAGAAACCTATCTTAGGACCAACTGAGGGCGTGCATTTAGTGAGAATGTATATATTGCGTGTATTTATAGTGAATGCGTAAATTTATACGTAGTGGTTGACTGAAATATATTTAGTAGCTAGCAATAGGAAACCATCAACAGAAATATAGTCATATTATCACTCTTTTCACAATCTTCAAAAGCTTTTTTTCGAAAATAGCTTTTATCGCGAGATTTTGCATATGAAATCACCTGTGTCCTGATAAAACAAGTTTTCTGATATTTTAGAATATATCACTCTCTATTTTCCTAATTAAAATATTATTTTCTAAAAAAAAAAATGCTTTAGTTGTTAATCCTGCCAATAGGGAAACTTGGATGATGTTGTTACACGTATCAGGTATAAAGTGCTTCTCCCTACGGTTATCCGAATAACCTGACTGGTTAAAAATTATGTCGTGATAATCGTCTCCAGGATTAGGTCGAGTATTCGTAGGTAGATCCACAAAGACCGGGCGAGGATATCGATTTCGGATAGAGCTAAGGTACTGTCACTACCCGGAAACATTATCGAAACCTATCATAATTATAAGTAGAACAGGGTGAACTGTGAGCTAGTAAATCCTACTACGTAGATCATTCGGTGCTGTTACTTCATAGACAATCGCACCGACAATTAATTCACAGACAAATTTATTTTATAGACAATCAATTCACAGTTATAGTTTATTTTACAGATAGACAATCGACGGTTCATTTCGCATAAGGTTGGCGAGGGAGATGTTCTTGGACTTTAGGATTTTCGGACGGACAATTTAGGAATTTTCTGAAAATATGATCGCTTGTATTAATTATGTTGATAACTAATCACATGACATTTGATCAATAATATCCAGGCTGGGTGCCGGTCAAAATCCTGACAAACAGAATCCCGACAAAAAAATCCCGACAGTAAAAATCCAGACAAATCCCAACAACAAAAGATTATTAAGTTAGGTTAGAGTTAGGTTAGAGTGAGCGCCTAGGTTAAGGGCGATTATAAAGTAAAATTGCTCAAGGAAAACTTTTTTTGATTGTCAGGATTTGTCGGGATTTTTGATTGTCGGGATTTTTTTGTCGGGATTAGACCTGTCGGAATTTTGTTTGTCAGGATTATGACCGGTCGGAATTTTGTTTGTTCCCAAACCCATTTAGGCTTATTCTCATTTATTCGAAAAATTAATATCAATCATGTTTTTTATTATGTAAAAGCGGATTTCACTCACATGTAATAATCATTACAATGGCTTTACTGGCTCGCAATTCAGGTTTCACCCTGTCATAATATTATATACCCAATTAGGGATACGGTCACATGATATTTAGACCTATATCCAATTATATATACTGTATATAAACTTAACGCAAACTATAAATATATTTTTAAAGTATAAATAATAGGATTCCTACGTTTGAGTTTTGGCTTGATTTGAGTTTGATCAAACTCAAACTCAAACTCCAAGCAAACTCAAACCTAAGCCAAACTCAAATACAATTATAAAATTTAATTCGAGTTTGATTTAAAGTTGCAAACATGTTTGAGCTTGAATATATATATACATAATATAAGGTTTCCATGAAAAGTATTGGCGGTGCAATTTAAGATCATATAACTATTGTTGTAACATAATATATATGACATTGCAACAAGTATGTATAGTATAAATATTAATGCTGGATTTTTTTAGCATGATAATAATCCAAAGTATATGTTGGATAAGGTTTATAATAACTTTTATTGCAATTAATAAATCGGGCTTCGTTCTGGTTTACACTGGCGATCATAAATAATGCATCAAAAAAAAAAAATTCGTTAGATCGAATTTTCTCGCGCAATTCCGCGTG